TCGAATCTATCAATGCTCCCAGATGGAGCAGACGTCTTGTGGGTGTCATGTGACTTTTTTTGAAGTTCACGGAGAACCCGTGATCCTGAAGTGTTTGAATTATGATTGCCAGGTCCGACTGGCCTGATTGGAAGGATCTGGACTGTATCAGTATGTCATCCAGGTAGCACTGTACGCGCACAGGCCTTATCCTTAGATGAGCCGCCAGCACTACCAAGATCTTTGTGAAAACCCTCGGAGCTGAAGAGAGACTGAAGGGGAGGGCCCGATACTGGTAGTGCCTGTGCACGTAGCAGAACCTCAGGAACCTGCGGTGTTCCTGGAGGATCGGAATGTGGAGGTAAGCCTCTGTCAGGTCGATGGAGGAAAGGAAATCCCCCTTCCTGATGCTTGCCAAGAGTCTGCATCTTGAACCTCCTATAAGTTAGGAAGTAATTTAGACCTTTCAGGTCCAGTATCGCCCTCCAGTCCCCTGAGGCCTTGGGAACTACAAACAGGATGGAGTAGAACCCCTCTCCTATCTGGTCCTGAGGTACCCTTTCTATGGCCCTGATGTCTAGTAAGTGTGTGATGGCTGTCGTGACTAGTTGTGCTTTTGATGTATTGCTTGAAACCGGGCACTGTATGAAACAATCTGGGGGAGAAGATCGAAACTCTAGGGAGAGACCCTGTCTTATGGTCTCCCTGACCCAAGCATATGTGGTTGTGCCCTCCCAGATGTCGTAGAACAGTGCCAGTCGTCCCCCGATGGGGTAGTCCTCCTTGGCGTCACTTTGACCGCCTGTATGGACAATTGCCTGATCCCCTGAAGGGACATTTGGTCTGGGACTGACCCCTGGCTCCGCTAATCTGCCGGTCCTGCTGCCGACCCTGTCTGGAGGAGTAGGATCGTGAGCCTCTGGGCCAATCCCAGGACTGCCCTGCCCAAAAGGACTGTTTCAACTCCCAGGTACTACTGGGGCGAAATGGTGGCCTGCAGTAATCCTGTTGAGGCCATCTATCTGATTTTTTGGAGGGATGGGCCATCACCTTTCGCTTGTCCTTGCTTTCAATGATGTGAGGCTCTAGGACTGTGCCGAAGAGGTGGGTACTACTGTATTTGGATGTTGCTAGGCGCCACTTTGCCTTTAAGTCAGTGCACCATTGCTTCAACTAGAGCAACCTACGGGACGCCACTGAGGCAGCAATAGATCTGGCCGAACATCTGGCCGAGTGTAAGGATGCATCCGCAATGTACTCGGATGTTGCAACAATCTTGCCTATTGATTGGTGCGCCCTGACCTGATCCGGCGGAATGAGCGCCTGGAGCTCCTGCAGCCACATTATCGCTGAACGTGCAAAGGAGGAGGATGAAGTTGCCGCCCTTATGGCCCAAGCCGAAAATTGGTGAGTTCTGCGGAGAGAGAACTCGAACTTTTTGTCCTCCGCCTTCAAGAATTCAGCCATGTCCCCAGGAATGGCGATATTCCAAACAGAGATGTCAGGGGAGCGTCCACAGTTGGAACTTCTAGGAGAGAAGCAAAGGAAGAAGCGACATTATAAAGTTTCTTGTCCAAACTGCTCGGGGAAGGAGTGGTAGCTAGGGATGACCACTGCTTTTCCACCGTAGTCCTGAAGACTAATGGACACGGAATCTGTGGGTCTTCCTTGACCTTTTCCGCAAACAGGGGGTTGGCCTCCTGATTAGTGGAGGTAGATGGTGACTCCTCCTGGGCTGAGGTAAGTTTTACCGTGGCGATGGCCTTTAGGAGGAGAGACCAAAAAATGGCCGGATCAAAGAGACCTGAAGATGTCACCTGCTCAGGAGTTGGGTCCTCATCCTCAGACAAGGGAGTGTCGGCTACTCCCAGTTCCATTGATCCCTCCTCTCCTAATTGCGAGGATGTCTCTGAGACATCAGAGCTGGGCCTAGTGTCGCGTTCCACCTGAGGTGGGAGAATGGATGTGGGAGAAGGTTGTGACTGTAACTGGCTACTCCCTGTGGATGACATAAACTGTTTGAATGCATGGTGCATGAAAGCCTGGAATTGACTCTGGGACCACATTTCCCCTTGGTCCTTGGAGCTGGCCCCAACCTCCGTTGAGGCACGCTGCTCTCGGGTGTTTGATGTGACAATAAGGAAGAGAAGCGAGGAGGACCAACCTGCTCAGTTTCCCCCTGAGGAGACCAAGACCTTGGGGCATCCTATGAGGATTCAAATTGGGGCTCCGACGAAGGGATGTCCAGTGGGGCAGGGGAAACCAATTCAGCCCCACTGGACCTGAGCCTTTGTGCCTTGGAGAATTCTCTCTCCAGTGCTAAGTGTCTCCTTGAGGCCTCTCGCTTGGCTGTTTTGGAGGTTTCTTTTGTGGACAAATGTTTGGTTTTAGCTTTTTTCTCCCCCCCCCCACTTCCAATTCCTCTGATTTGTTTGTGCGGGGGGGACACTGGTCTGAGTTGCCTGAGGCGAAGAGCTGTCTGCCATTGCAGTCTAGGTACTCCTGGACAGTTGTACCTAGAAATGGGGGGAACCCAACACGCAGATCAAACAGAGATGGAAAACCGATCCTCGCTCTGAACAAATAGCAATGGCAAGAGCAGCCAGACAGTGTTCTAATACTGCCTGCACAGGCCCTGTGACTAAAGGTCACTGACTGACTGAGAAATAAGTGGTCAAGAAAAATATCTCTTCGCTCTTCTTTCCTAGGTCTTAAGACCAGATATCAATACCTTGGCCTGCTTAAATGCAGACAAGGCCCACACCTGGGGTAGCCCCCACGAGTTTCACCACAGCCGCTGCGGGTATAACGAAATATCTTCCCCCCCTGAACGGGCCTGCTCACAGACCAAGGCACTCAGGCAATAACTATGAATCTACAATAATGCAAGTAATAACTGCTGATGATGCAGCTATAATTTAAATGGGCCTCTAAAATGGCGTCCGCCACGTGAGCCGTTCAGAATAGCGGCTGCACTAAGACTATGCGATCAAAATGGCGGCCGCAAGACCTTTAAGGCCTCCGGAGAAGCAAAGAGGGAAAATCTCGGAGTTCTTTAAAGGAGAATCAATTGCACGTAGCTGGGAAACGAAATAGCTTGAATTCCTGATTCCCCCTGGTCCCCAAGCACTTGCGATTCGTAGCGCAGCCTCCGCTGCGATGAGGATGAGGCTGCAGTCAGGAAAACGCTCTCTCGAAGCCTCGACGCAAACGAAGCACTCCAGAGGCCTCCACGCTGAAAAGCCGATCTCCGCTGCCCAGCTGATCGGCGGAATTGCGAAAATGTTACCATCGTCAGAATGGGAGCTCCCCTCCGGACGAAGCCTGCAGCCTCCCTCTTCAGAGCCCCAAAGGGCTGCAGAGGAGCAAGGACAGAGTCCTTATCCCCCCCAACACAATCTCAATCGATTTTTGAATTTGCCAAGTAAAAGCCGAATTAGTCCAATTGATTGATCAAATTTAAATTTAAATCTAGCCAATTTTGATCAGATTAAATCCAAAAAAAAAAAGAGAGAGAGAATCTAGCCTAGCTAGGGAGCCTTCAATAAAGTGTCTTGCTGAGCTCGAGACTAAGACAAAACTGGGGAAGGCACGCCCAGAAGGAGGTGTGGTGAAGTTTTTTTGTCTTAGTCTGAGCAGGAAGGCTTAGATTACCCTAATCAGTGGATTCTACACCCATCCTGCTGGAGAATGGCAATCTTGTGACCATGATGATATTGCATCAAACAGAAGTAGGAGAGCTAATCATAATTCCCCTTCATTCAGCACCACAGTCCCATTGTAAGTTTGAATGCTTGCTGAATGAGTAATCATTAAATAAGAGTCATTGGTATTTATTTTATTTATTTACATTTATTGATTGCTGAACTTTACTGGATTCTAAGCAATGCATGAAATTAAAAAAAGGTATAAAACAGTTAAAGGTATTAAATCAATAGGCAACTGGGACTAAAATGCTGATAATAAAATCCACAAAACAAAGCAGGGGCTATTAAACAAATAGCAAATATTAACTCCATGCCAAGGATCGAAGCCAGGTTTTCAAAGCTTTCCAAAACCTCAGGAGAATGGGCTCCATCTTTATCTCTGGAAGGATGCTGTTCTGGAGATTGGGGGCAAAAACAGAGAACACAAATTTCCTCAGTCCCACAAGATGGCAGTGTTCAATGGAGGGAACCTGGAGTGCATCCACACTGCTGGAACATTGGACAGTCTCTCAATTATCCAGGTATCTAACTTAGTTGTTTCAGTTAAAGTCAGTTTAGCATTACCTGTGAATCTGGCAGGTTAACCTGTGCAAAAATGTTTTCTCAAAGAGGAGGAAACTGGACAGCCACTTGTCTGAAATAATATAGGGTTTCCTGATTGAGCAGGGCTGGACTAGAAGACCTCCATGGTCCCTTCCACCTGTTACTCTGTTCTGTTGCAAGCTATCATTTGGGGCTCAATGGCATTGAACTATAAATCTCCAATTTTATGATTCCCACACCAAGGAAATGTGGCGGCTACTTCGTGGTTCAGTATGTCTGGCAAATACGCTCTAGGTTGGATAAATTCTGGATTTAAGTAAAAAAAAAAAAAAGCTAGGTGCTTCAAGTGCTACCTGAGCTCGTGCACCATTGCAGGAAAATCTCCGGAGCCAGAAGAGGACCGACCGTCTTTTCCCTTTTAGGCTCAGTTGCTTCCTGGAGAATTGCGCCTCTGCGGTGCAACCCCAAAACAGTCCCCCCCCCTCCCCAGGATTACCTTGTATGGGCGCGTGGGTATTTCACTCTGAACAGGGCTCAGTAACGCTAACCTGGGAAAGCAGTACAAGCTTACGGCGCTGAGAAACAAGGCTTTTTGCAACCAGCGATCGAGGCGACTTCCGGAGGCGTCTCTGCCAGAAAACTGAAGTTCGGGGTGTAGGTTGAAAGCGCATCTCACCCATTGGCGTTTCGAGACTTCCTGCAAGGGGCGCTAGCACTGGAGCGAGCCAGAAGACGCGACCTCCTCCGCTAGCAAAGCACTTCCCCTTTTTTAAAAGGGGTTGTCTGGTTCGCTGTGACCGCCTGCGATCCGCTACGCGAAGGTCAAAAAGGCCGCGGGAGGCGCAGCCGACGATCAGCCGCGTCTTCCCAAAATCTCGGGAACCGCGCAGGGCCGCTGACGGGCCAGAAAGCTGCGAATTCGCCGGACGCTGCCGCATTAGCGGGCTGGCGATTTCTCGCTTTTGCAGTCGCCGCCCCTCTATCTCCCCGTTGCCACCATGATGGCAGAGTTTCCTTCTCCCCGGTGGCTTTTGTTTCTTACCGTAGCTCTAGGGGGGATGCGAACGGAGCCCTCCTTCGCCGAGGCAGGGGATGCAGCTCCGCCGGCCAAAATAGGTAGGCGTTCCTCTTTCATCGCAGCGAGCGGCTGGCGGCTCGCTGGCTGGCGTTAGCCCATCACGAGGCGCCCCCAAGGTGGGCTTCTGCGCCCAAACAGCTTGGAGCTCCCGCATTTGCACTGGGGAAATTGAGCGTAAAAGCAGGGATGATGGGGCTGAAAGTGGGGCTGCTCTGGCTTCTGCAGAAACATGTTAGGCTTGGCGTTTTGGTGGCCATCCTGGAGTGTTCCTATTCCGACACGTGCTTTGAAATTTTATCCGATAATGCTCTTTTTTTATACAGCCAGGCCAACCCAATGGCAGGGTCAGCGTGTATAGTTTATCCCTGCTTCTCTTATATGGGTGCTATGTATGTGTATTGTGCTCAAGAGACACTGGGGGGCGGATTTCCTCCGCCCCGTTCTGCTGGGACCATTGATGGTAGCATATACTTTCTCCCTATCCTTTCGGGTACACTGGATCTAGTGTACCCAGATTTCTCAGCAATTGGCTGTGTCAGCTAGAAATTCAAAATGGCAGTGCCAATACATTGAGTGATTGAGGAAGAAGAATAGTATAACAATTAGATAGTTTTCACAGTGAGATAATAGTTTTGGAGTTTGGTTGGAATGCATGTGATCAGACTTAGCCAGAAAACCTTTTTTTTTTAATATCCTGCCTTTATTATTTTTTATAAATAACTCAGAGCAGCAAATACACAATACTCCTCCTTCCTCCTATTTACTCCAGAAGAACAACGCTGTGGGTTGGGCTGAGAGAGAGTGACTGGCCCAAAGTCACTTAGCTGGTTTTCATGCCAAGGCAGGACTAGAACTTAATTTTCCTGCTTTCTAGCCTGGTGTCTTAACTACTAGGCAAACTGGCTCTCTTTATTATTTTTATTATATGCCCACTGCTAGACAGAGATGTGGTTTGAGCAATCCTCTTTTCCCTGGGAAACTATATCTATTTGTTGAAGATGGATCTTTTTATGATGGTTCTTAACATGCTTGCTTTGCTTTCGCAGCTGTGGTGGGAGCTGGAATTGGCGGCTCCTCGGTAGCTTATTTCCTGCAGCAGCATTTTGGGCCGCAGGTTCAGCTAGATGTATATGAGAAGGCTGTGGTAGGGGGTCGCCTAGCCACAGTTACAGTCAACAAGCAGTCCTACGAAAGTGGAGGGGCCTTCTTCCATTCTCTCAACTTACACATAGAAGATTTTGTGCAGCAATTGGGTAAGTGCAGTTGACCATTTAGATTTATAAGCTTCAAGCTTGGTTTCTGCATATCCTTTTATTGTCTCTGAGCTTGAGTGGTATGGGAGATGTTTGGTTCCTCTGGCATGGTAGATAGAAGAGATCAGGAATCATCGTTGTTCTGTTACAAGGGACCTCAACCTACTTGTTCTATTCAGCCAGCCTGTAATTTCCTGCCCAAACATTCCATTCCATTCCCATTTGTACCTTTGGAATACAATTGGACTATTTGGGGGAGATTACAACTTTGAAGTTCTTTTTCCCCCTAAGATACTTTCTTTTTGTGAATGAAGGGTCATGGTTCAATATGAATACATACATCATGGCAATAGGTTTGATCCATGTTTAAATATAAAGCAGTGCTGAACTGAGCTGAGAGAAAGCTAGAGTCAAACGTCCATACAACATGGACCTCATTGAGTGACTTTGGATCAATTCCTTTTCTTAGCCCAGCCTTCTGGCGGAGTTTGAGAATCTAAATTGAAGGGAATCTTCATATATCATGCTTACATGGTTCCAAAGTTGAGGTAGCCATTCTTATTTTCCCTTCGCCTAGAGTCTGTGTATTTGTTGTTTCAAAATTTGTTTTTTAAAAAGGATTTTTATATTTTTTAAAAAATATAATATGTTTAAAATATAATATGTTTTTATATCTGTTGCGGTCTTTGATTGTTGTGCACCACCCAGAGTCAACTTTGGTGAATAAGCAACTCCATAAATTTGATTAATAAATATATCAATATATGCAATCTTCAGCTGAGTGAGCCTTTCCACTCCTTCAGAAGAAAGGTTGAATGTAAATATAATGAAATGTACCTTAATGTATTATACATAATATAATGTAACAACTATAACAACAACATCAAATTATTAAATCTGCCTTGGCACAAAACTGAAAATAGACAAATCAGTCCTGTATTATTATACTATTTATGGACTTAGAGTCCCCACTTTCACTCACACTCAGGGAAATATATAAAAGACTCCCTCCTCTCTTTTTTCCCCTTAACAGCAACATTGTGAGCTAAAAGTTGGGTTGGCACAGATTGACTGGCACAGATCTCAATCTTCACTGATTTTTAAAATTCAATCTTCTGTTGTAAAGAGCAACATGAAGCCCAGACCCAGAAAAAAAAATAGCTGTTGTGGATGAAGGTGAAGCATATTTTTTGGTAACAAAATCTGGCCACTATCAGAGAATTCTGCAGTACCAAAATGGAAGAAGCATGATGAATGAGTGTGATAGCAAATGAGAAACTGTATTAAAAATCATGACTGAGAAAGATTTCTCAGAGTCAAGTTAGAAGTAGACAGCAAAAGAGAATAAGAAGGTCAACTCTCTTGCAAAGCCCATCATGATAAAAAGGATATAAGCCAACCTTACTGGATGTTGTTTTCTGTTCTGTAGGATTGAAACATCGTCGAGAAGTGGCAGGAAAGAGTGCCATCTTCACTGGGGAACAGTTTGTCCTTGAGGAGACAGACTGGTACTTGCTCAATCTTTTTCGGCTCTGGTGGCACTATGGCATGAGCTTCCTACGTCTACAAATGTGGGTAGAGGAAGTAATGGAGAAGTTCATGAGGTAGGTACAAGGAGGCCATCACTGGTGCCTCCAGTGCAAAGAGAAAAAAAATAGGACAATCTCCCTTCGATCAAAATTAGCTTCTATCCAGTGGTAGCAATTTACTATAAGGGAGGGTCTTCAGATTTCCTGTAAAGCTCATAGGGAATGGCCTTGAAGGGCAGGAAGAAGAGCCACTAAGTTGGCAGCAGTCAGCTAAGTTGGACTAGAGCTAGGCCAAGGAATTAACTGACGAACACTTCTAAGACAAGTCCCTCTTGCATGCACACAAAGTGAGGGAGGAGGAATCACGTTCTGACTTGCAAAATCTGTTGCTAGAACTATTGCAATAAATATAATCCCTTGGCCTTGGTTCCTTAGCCTGGTCTACCTTGTAGGGCTGTCTTTTACTAAGAGAGAAGTCATGCCGCTCTACATTTTTCCCCTTTTTATGACCTACAGAATCTACAAGTATCAGGTCCATGGCTATGCATTCTCTCATCTTGAGGAGCTCTTGCGTTCACTGGGGGGTGACACCTTTGTCAACATGACCCAGCGCTCTGTGGTGGAGTCCCTGCTGGATGTGGGTGTCACACAACGCTTCATCGATGATGTTATCATGGCCATTCTCCGGGCCAATTATGGTCAGTCAGTACTGGTGCCTGCATTTGCAGGTGAGTACTACCCATCTTCTATTGCTCCAGTCTTTTTTCAATAGGCCATTGTGCAGCTTGGGAGACAAGTATGTTGTAAGAAAGGCTGGTGTTTTACAATTTGGCTAGTTTATTCTCTGACAGCTGTCCTCTCTGTACTTCTTTTTTTTAGGGGCTATGTTACTAGCAGGAGCGCAAGGAAACCGATGGGCAGTTGAAGGTGGCAACAAGCTGGTGTGCTCAGGCTTGCTGAAGCACACAAAAGCCAACATAATCCATGCCACAGTGACAGCTATCTCTCTGCACAGTTCAGGTATGCCACACAAATCCATCTTCATCCAAAGATCTCCAGGTAGTGAGGCTGGAGATTTTGAAGAGCTGCTGCAGACTACGTAAATATGCTGGGATAAATGAATGGTCTTACTTTGTGCAAGACAGATTTCCCTATTCGTATGGGTGCACTTCAAATCTGGAGAATTGAATTTTAAAAGCAATTTAGAAAGAAGGGGCACCTGGCTTTCAATGTGGATATGCCGCACATTGGATAATGCAGTTGACATGGAGATTCTATGAGAGAATTGTAGCCCAAGCGATGACTCTTCCGAGGACTTAATGGAAGGAAACGTAACATATTTTCATTCTCTCATACCTCTGGCTAATTCCTCACCTCCTAAGCTTTTATTTGCTTTTCAGGGAAGGTTCTTCAGAAAAACCAACATTTCTGAGAGTGCCTTTTCTGAGTGGTGGCAAGGAGCAAACACACACATGATTCATTGTATTCAAAATCACCTCTGGTTTAATCCCGGAATTCAGAATTCAGATATTGTTGCTTCTCAGGAGATATACATGTAATAAATATTGACCGGATACTGTGCCACATGATAGAGACCTTCTTATGCTGAACTAAGCATTAGAAATGAAGTGTCACAAAGCAGGTTCACATGAGCTGGCTACCTCTCCTCAAAGCTATAAAGCTTTGCAGCTTTCCCCAATTGTTGTGGATATCTGTTTGTGCAGAGCTGTTCCATTTTTCTGCAGGCCCAATGGAAATGTTCATACTTCAGACTGCTGTCTGAAGCTGCTGAGTCTTCCACAGTATAATAGCTACTTTAATGCATTAAGGAGTTTCTCTTTTTAAAGCTCTGTAGGCTACAACTATAGGTACCGTAGTCCTTGACTTACCATATTTCCCCGACAGTAAGACCTACCCTGAAAATAAGCCCTAGCTTGATTTTGGGAGGTGGGCCTAATATATACCCCCAAACTATGCCCTGATTTTGGGGTGAAGTGCATGCGTAAAAATCAAGCTAGGGCGGGGGTGGACCTTACCATTGCAGCCAGGCCGCCCATGGATCGACAGTGGCATCACCAGCCCACTTCTTCTGCAGCCAAAGCAGCAGCTTCATTCTGCAGCTGAGAATGGAGCTCCGGCCTGCATTTCGCAGTCAGGCCTTTCCGGAAGGCCTGTGCAGCTGAAAACCAAGCTATGGATTCAATCTGTAGCTCGGTTCTCAACTGCACAGGCCTTCCGGAAAGGCCTCTGAGTGCGAAATGCAGGCTGGAGCTCCATTCTCAGCTACAGAATGAAGCTGCTCCTTCGGCCACAGAAGAAGTGGGCCGGCTGGGCGAGGCTGTCAGTGCCGCCACCGTGAGGTGAGTGGAAAAGACACCCCCCCTGAAAATAAGATCTGCTGCCTCCTTTGGAGGCAAAAAAATAATAATAAGACTGGGTCTTGTTTTCGGGAAAACACAGTACAACCACAATCGAGCCCCAAATTTAGGTTGCTAAGTGAGACAGTTGTTAAATGAATTTTGTCTCATTTTACGATCTGAATTTCAGTTAAGTTATTAACACGGTTGTTAAATGAATCTGGCTTCCCCATTGACTTTGCCTGTCAGAAGTTCTCAAAAGACGATCACATAACCCCTTAGACACTGCAGTGTCATAAATATAAGTCAGTTGCCAAACATCTGAATTTCGATCACATGACGACTGGGATGCTGCAGCAATCATAAGTGTGAAAAATGGTCATAAGTCACTTTTTTCAGTGCTGTTGTAACTTTGAGCGGTCACTAAATGAATTGTTGTAAATGGAGGACTACTTTTAGAGGGAGGAATCCAGGCTCCAGCTGGGAACTATAAGGCTAAAACTGGGAGAAACTGGAGGGGGGGGGGGAGATGAAAGTAGTAAAAAAAAATGCAGGAAGGTTATGGACAGTAATTACTATCAGCTGAACCTGCTTTAAAGAATTCTGAATAATTGCACCTTGAATACCTTTGATGTAAAGTATCCATTGATGCATGCAGAGAAGCAGGTAGAACATAACACAGACAAGGATCTTTATACTGTAGGAATGTTCAAACGATTTTCTCCTTTCACTTGCTTTAAAGTCTGGCATATTTATTGCACAGAGACACTTGAAATTTCCTGAGTGTTCACAGTCTAACTTTTTTTTTTACTAAGAAAAGATTATATTTCCTGTACATAGGGTATTTATTGTTGCTGTGATCACTCAAAGCATACCCAGTTAAGTAAATGTGATGCTTTAAGAGAGGATGTGATGAAATGGTAGATTACTTGCATTCTACTAAGGTCAATAAGGAATTAACCTTATAAGGAAGAGGGGCAGAAAGCTGCAAAAAGAGAAAGACCACTTTCAGGCAGATAGAATAAAAAGAGGGAGCAGAAAATAAAAATAGATAACGCGTGTATATAATATGTAGAAACTGTAAAAAGAGAAATATTGATGGTTCTTGTAAATAAACTATGGATCCTATGGATCAGCTGCTGTGGTGGTGTACCTCTAGATAGAAACAACTTTCAGTCTATATTATTTATTCATAAAGTATTGCATTAAATAAGATTTTAACTCGAAAATAATTCAGTCACTCACCACTGAATACCTAAGATATCAAACTTTAAGATATAAAAATCAATAGCTTAGGATGAATTTTATTATAAGAACTCTACACATAACATTTTGGAGTGATAGTGAGATTTTAAAGAAAATAAATGCAGGAAAAAATGTGTCATTGCCAAACAAATAAACTCCGTTTTAACAGAGGCTATAATTGGCATATATTTTTATTCCTAACAGCATCTTGAAAAATGTTTACTTTGATTTGCATTGAGTGAGAGCCTACATAATAAGGATCTTTATAGCGCCTATTTCTCTTAAATGCTGGATAGTACAAAGTTGCCTATCTTTTTTTGTTGTATATTTTTTAAATCGTGTTCATAGTGTTCTGTGGAATATTACCTTCCTTCTTACTGTTGTAGCCACAACTTTTCATTTCAGGCCATTGGAGACTTTGTACTTGCTAAACTGTTTAGCATCATCTAGCTTCCTACACAAGATATATAGTTGTTGATGGAATATTCCAAACTGTAATGGCAGCAGATGTACACAACTCAACCCAATTATTTTCACCTACCAAAGTCAAAAACTACAATAAGATTTCCCTTTTTTGTGACCAGTCAGGGGAATCTTCTCTAGGCTCTTTGATCAGTTCCTATCTGCTATTTTTACAAGTTGTGTGAGTGCTTATTGTAGCTGGTTTAGCTAGCCAAGTTAGTCTTCATAAATAAAACCAGCAGTGAGTGAGCTGCGGAAACAATGGAATCAACCAAAAAAACAGGGCAAACTATGAGATCTTAGCAGAATTGTTTCTCTTTGAAGTTTCATCTATTCAGCTTCTAAGACAGGGGTGTCAAACTCGCAACGTCACATGACGTGTTGTGACATATTGTGACTTTTTTTCCATTGCCGGCAATCCGGCCGTGGGCCGGCAGTTTGACACTCCTGTTCTGAGATAATGATGATGACTTGCTTGCTAAACTGTCTGAGTTACTGTTTTTTCCCCTGTTTGTTTCCTGTGAATTTTTATCCAGAAGGAAAACCCCTCTACCAAGTGCACTATGAAAATGAAGATGGTCCAGGTTCCAACTTTTATGACATAGTGGTCATTGCCACTCAACTACATGACAGCAAGAACAATATTACTTTTCAGAATTTTGATCCTCCTATTGCTGAGTTTCCTGGAACCTTTCACACCACAGTCACTTCCGTTGTTCATGGCTACCTCAACTCCTCATACTTTGGCTTTCCAGATCCCAAGCTTTTTCCTTTTGCCAGTGTCCTCACCATAGAAGCTCCTGGTCTCTTCTTCAATTCCATGGATAACATTTGCCCTGTCAACATATCTAATACCTTCAAGCGAAAGCAGTCCCAGGAAGCTGCTGTGTGGCGTGTCCACTCTCAACATCCTTTGGAGAAGCAAGAGCTGAAGATGCTGTTCTGTTCTTATTATTCTGTTCAGGTGACAGAATGGCATGTCTGTCCGGATTATGGATCAGTCAAGAACCTCCCACCTATTCTCCTGCATGACAGCCTCTACTACCTCAACAGCATGGAGTGGGCAGCCAGCTCCATGGAAATGTCTGCCGTGGCAGCCAAAAATGTGGCTCTCTTAGCCTACAATCAGTGGAATCACAATGTAGAGAAAATAGACCAGAAAGACTTAATGCACAAAGTGAAGACTGAGCTGTGAACTTAGCAAAACAAGACTTTATTGCATGCAGAGTAAGGAGGATATTTGAGGCTAAGTGCCATTCCTTGACCTGCTGCATTCCAGTTATATTGGATTGCAGCATTTGGAATTCCCAGTCAGTGTAGTAAGAGATTCTGATATTTGCAGTCCCATGCATTCCCAAATCCTCTAAGTCAGGGTGTCAAACTGCAGGTCCGTGGGCCGGTTGCATCATGCAGAGGCCGTGCCCACCCTAGCTCCAGCAATGAGAAAAAAAGTTGCAATACATTGTAACACATCACGTGACGCGGCAAGTTTGACACCCACGCTCTAAGTTAAGGAAGGCTGTACTGCAGATTTAACAGAAGTAAAGCAGAGCACTGGCAAATCTGTGTATTTATACATTCATCTGTTATCTATGGTCATGGCAATCTCTTTAGCATAGCATCACTCTTTCAAAGAGCCTGTAAATTAATGCCTCAGTTGTTCAGGGTTCTTTGGTAATCATGGAAGAGGATTGAAACCAAATAGATTTTTACTTTACCTGCTGAATCATATTCATACAGCCCAATTGTGTATATCACCTAACATGCTACAACTGTGGATTCAAACTTCCTTCTTGTGTCTTCACCTGCAGCCTTCCCAAATGATTTATACTGGACTGGACTGGACCTTCTTGTACTTTATCCCCTAAGCTAAAGGAAATGGCACATTTAGGGTCATAAGACCTTTTATAATTTTTTTGGTTTTCCTGGTATCCCAAGGACTGTATTCCCTTATGTTTATTACAAAGCCTCATGAATTTAGATCAAAGGATGGTGAAGCAAAGGACCTTGTATTGGAACGTTTACTGTGAGAAAAGCTAAACAGCTTAATGAATCATGCAACCTTTTATCCACTATTCTGATAAACTTGTGTGCTCAATGGCTGATCTGAAGTTGCCTTGCCAGCCATCCCATGGGCCTTTTTTCTTGGTTTGAAATAGATTAAGCATGCTGTCCTCCGGCATTTGGTTAAAAAAAGATTTCCTTGATTTCTAAACAAAGAGAAACCACTGAACTGACATTCTGGAATTTTCCTGAATAGATTCCACAATACCCTAGCCCAGGGGGTCTTCAAACTTGGTCCTTTTATGACTTGTGGACTTCAATTCCCAGAATTCCTCAGCCAGGTCATGCTGGCTGAAGAATTCTGGGAGTTGAAGTTTACAAGTCATAAAAGGGCCAAATTTGAAGATTCCTGCCCTAGCCATTTGGTCAGGCTGATCCTGTAAATCTTGAAAAAAATATATGAAAGGCTTGAATATTTGCTACCTGCTGCTAATGAAGCTGGGCTTTCAGCTGTGTAGGATAAAGGGATAACTTGTTTTTGCTAATTCCAGGTGTAATAAAATGATGAGGCTCCCTATCTTTCTTCCTAGAAATTGAAGAAAATACTTAATTTCAATTGTTACCTTGTATACAGCATGGATATTGATACGGTTTTCTTTAATGAGCTTTGTTAAATCAATATATTTGCAGAATCAGGTCAGCAACACACTTTATGATCAAGCAGCAAAATAGGTACGCCTAGCTAATCTCTAAAAGAGATTTTTCTACTGTGCCTTGAGTCATAGCCTTTAGCTGGCTGGGAAGAACTGAGAAAATGAAAATAAGGTTACCGGCTTGTTTCTTCTGAAGTTGTGACATTTGAGCGCATAGACAAATGCTTAGATCAAGGGTAGCAAATTGTTTGCAACTGGTTGGCAGATCTGGAATGTTGGCATATTGTGAGTATTCTCACAAAATGATTGCCACAGTCAATGTGGCTAGACTCAAAATACTCCTTGGTCAGGTGAACTGAGAAACTTCTCTGTCATTCAGTTGATCTCACTTTACTAGATAACTTACACTTATCCTTTATCTGAGTAAATGAAACAAGCAATAGACTATAGCTATCGTATGTAATGTCTAAAAAGATCTCAGGAGATTCTTGCAATTAATGCCTCTGGACCCCACATAAGATGGAGGCAGATGAACCTGGAAATATGCCCACATTTTCGCTTAACAAAAATAATTAAAAAGCCAGGTGCAGCAGGGGTTTGGCAGGTGCAAAAGCCAGCTACTTAACAGTTGTATAAGTACTTCTTGGCATCTGATTGGGTAACTGCCCTGTATTTTGCTCTGTTGCTTCATAGCTATAATGCTGATGCATTTCCATCCATGAAAAATTGTTTCTGGGGAAACTGCTTGCTTTGGATTCAAATGGGAATATTTCCTAGATCTACATACAAAACCCAAGGATTGGATTCAGGCTCCTCTTTCTGGGGAGCAAACCATGTTGAATAATGGCAAGCTTCCCTTCTGTAGAACAGATGCTTATAGAACTGATGCTTTTCCTGTATTATAACAGTTCTTCAGCTGCTTATCCCACATCAGGATGTTTCCCAGTCCTGCTATTGGAGAATCCCCTGGGCTCTTCTGCAAAAAGACTATGTCCTCAGCCCCTGAGCTGTGATTCCCATCCATTGTGAAGGCTAGGGATATTAAAAGAGATTATTACAGAAACTTGAGTCCATTCACAATGTGTGTGCATAGTGATAAACATGAAGGATTTCTTGGGCTTTCTTGCTGCCTTCTCTGTTTAACTCTTGATAAGAATACCATCCTTAACGTTCCTCTAGTTTCCTGCTGATATGCAAGCCATATTATCAGAACTTTGAGAGCTGTTGGCATTTAGATAAGGCTTTCTTGATAGTATTCTATAAGGCAGTGGTGGCGAACCTATGGCACGGGTGCCAGAGGCAGCACTCAGAGCCCTCTCTGTGGGCACATGCGCCATCACCCCAATCCTAGGCCTTCAGCTGGGTTTTATACAACCTTTTTGCCTTAGGCCTCCACCGCCGTGTGCAAAAAAAAAAAAAAAAAGGTTCAATCAATCAGTCAATTTCAACTTGCGGGGAAAAAAAAGATCTTGCAAAGTTGGAATTGATTGAAATTTTTAGTCCCACCCAGTCTGCAGTTACCACTGCAGCCACGCCCACCCAATGGCCACACCCAGCCAATGGCCACACCCACCCAGCACTCGATGCATAAGTGGGTTTTGGGTTGCAGTTTGGGCACTCAGTCTCTAAAAGGTTCGCCATCAGTCTCTAAAAGGTTCGCCATCATAAGGTGAATAGTAGCCTGCCAATCTTGATTTAAAGAGCCTCTTAGACTCATTCTCTGCTGTGATCTGAGAGGCAATGGAGCACTGTTAAACTGTTGAGAAGTAAGTTCTCATTGTGCTAACCACAGTGAGGTGGGGCTTATGTTTTGTGTAGATCCAATCAAGTATGGTTTGGTAATCAGACGTGAACTCTTATCTACAAAGTGTGAAGCCAGCTAGTTAGTTCTGCCAAATTGTTCTATACTCAGGGTCCCAGTACTGTCTAAAAAGGATGCTCTGAAAGGTGTTTTCTGAATGTATGAAGCCAACTGGATGACTTTGAGTCAGTCATGCTAGGAATAATGTAATGGCAAGCCACTTAGGAAAATCTTGCCAAGAAAAACTGCATGGAATGGTCCAGGTAGTTGCCAGGAGGAATTAAGACTGACTTGAACATACCTACAAACAGTGACATAACTGGTCAAGATATTGATTCATCTCTAAAGGTTTGGCCCAAACTCAACTTTATAACTAAATTCTCACCAAACAGTCTGAAGGCCTGAAAATAGATAGACATTTTAACCAATAATCTTTCTTCTGCTTTTTCTCTACATTCCTAAGCAAACAAGGATGCCAGATAAGAAAAAAAGTGAAAGTGGGAACTGTGGTTATAGCATCATAACAAGTGCTCTTTAAGTGAGGAAGTAGCCTGACTTAAAGCATTACTGAGGCACATAATAAGTAATTTGCCTGCTGGATATACATTGCCAGCCTTCTTGAAGGTAATACAGAGATGGGAGCTGAGCAAGTATCTAAAATACATTGGTGTTTCCTCATTTGTCAAAAGGACAGAGCAGTTTAGAAGAGCAAAGATATAGTACTTCATCCATAAGAACAGGAAGTCCCTTCCTCCTGAGTCCTCAGAAGATGCAAGTGCATCCCACCGCAATGGTCTCCATAACCATCTTATACTCTCTGTGGCACCTTTTCTTCTTCCTGTGAGACTTACTTGGCTCACACAGCATCCGTCGCACTGGGATTTTGCTATAGATTGGAATGCTGACCATGGTGCGGTCCTCCTGCATGGTGAAGGGATTGATGCAACCTGCGCACAGACAATGTGCCTCTGGGATGTCAGCTGGAAGCCGGGATGCATCATGGTTTATCCTAAAGGAAAACATGTTGACATCAAAACATGCATATTTTTCTTGATGGCTGGTAGGACTGTGCAGCAATATGAATGTGGAGAGGAAAAAGTGATTCAGGACATCCCTGTTGCACCTCCAGGCTCTTTAAAGAAGCTCCTGCTTTTCCTGGTCATCACACAATCCCAGGAAAATATGACTGAAAAGGTGCCATCTTGTGCAACATGCCTGTTTCCCTTTTAAAGCCAGATGATGGGTGAGACTAGGATGATATTGCATCACTGGAAGATATCCCAGAATAAACAGTGGCAAACAACCACTATCGGTTATTCCAAAGATGCTTTTTTCACAAGGCAACTGGACTTTTCTGTTTTTCTTTGAAGACATTTCACTTCTCATCCAAGAAGCTTCTTCAGCTCAGCTCAGAAGCTTCTTGGATGAGAAGCAAAACATCTTCAAAGAAAACAGTCCAGTTGCCTCATGAAAAAACATCTTTGGGACAATTATGTCTGAGAGTCTCCATAGATAACAGCTACCAGTTGTAGCACATCCCAAAGCTTTTATAAGGAATTGACATGGAATTCTTTCTCCCATTAAAAAATTCTATTTTCCAGATAGGAAGAATATCTGCATGCAACCTGTTTGCTCATGGGAAGAATCATGGTTCAACAGAGGGACAATAGGGCCAACATCCTCCACATAGAAAAATATTGCAATAGGTCATTGCTTCCACTTGTGGGAGCACAAGCAACCTTTCCCAATCTGGTATCTTCTAGAAATGTTGAGATGAAGATTTCCAGCTAAGAATTCTTGGAGTTATAATTCTCAGATTGGGAAAACTAACTAACTTAGATGAATGCCTTCTTTTTAAACAATCATAGATTTGTTCCAGAAAATGATGCCATTCTATTAAGATTATTTAACTTAGCTGCAGAATTAAACAGAAAGTTGTACCTCCATGGCCAATTCCTGGAAGTCTCTTCTGGTACGTCAAGTAGGTCAAGTTGCCCACCACCACCATCAATATACAGTAGTAGCATCTATTGGTGTTCATTACACAGACATAATACAGATCTATGTGATCTCAAGCTTCTATGTCACACTTTCCGTCTGTTACAACCAGAGCTGGGCTTAGTAATAGCTACCCAGAAGCCCTTATAGCTTAGATGCCACATTTTGTGGCTGCTGTTACTGTTAATCATAGGTCAAAAGCTGATAACTTGTAAGCATGATGTATCATCACAACAAAGCTAAATGCCAGTGAAGTAATAGTGATTCCATGCAACACTGGAAATGATGGGATAGACTGCATTCCTTTGCTTCCCATGAAGCAAAGTGTAAATTAATTCAATTCTTTTACTTCTGGATCTGTTAGAATTTGGGATCTCCAGTTCTTAGTGGATGAATGAAATTACTTGTTCAATATTCAGAAATACAGCAAGCGGAGAATACAGCGGCACAAACTCGGGCAACCTTGAGTATCTTCTTGATCTGAATATTGGGCAGTATTGGATATTCAAACTAATTCAAGTCTGCTTAAGCATGAGCTGCAGAATTGCAGCTGCGTATAGGCTCTGCTAGATAGAAGATTCAGTTTGACCATTACATTTTAAGTTCATTACAAGAGCAGATAGCCTTGCTTAACGATGTAACTGGAACTGACTGCTAAGCAACACAGTTGTAAAATGCAGCATCAAGGGGCTACGCTGACTTACAATGGCAATGGTAGCAGTTCCAGTTGTGCTCATTAGACAAATCCCATGTGGTTGTTAAGCATGCTGTCATATCATCACTGTGACCTTCTGCCAGCTTCCCCATTGTTGGAAGCCAACAATGAAGGCTACAAATGGCAGTTGTGATTTTGGGATGATATGGCTGTTGTAACTGTGCGTCATTTGCTAAGTGCCTTAGTCATGGGAGTGCTAGGACAGCTGTGGACCAGTTATAAATATCCTTCTTTAGTGCCATTGTAACTTCAAATAGTCACTGAATAAGTAGTCATTAAATCAGGATTCCCTGTAAATCCTGTTTTATCATCAGCAATGCATGCTGCTAGGATGCTTTTGGGATGTAGGATTCATCCTTTTGATAATGCCAAGAAAGCTTCCTTCCTGTCACTTCTACTCTGGACAATTCAAGGGTCCCAGTTAACAATAATTAAACCAGTGATGCTGCCAGGCTGCGAATCCCAAGTACAACCTCCCCAAAGGGCCAGGTTTTTACTAGTTCTGTTTTAGGTTCAGTTCTGTTATATCCTACTTCATCCCAGGTGAGTTGAGTTGGCTAATGTATCTGAAGCATTAAACCAACCTCTGAAGTCTGGGGCTACACATGGCTACATTATAGTAAAATTCAGTTTTAGATCAAAATTCATAATTTCTATTTTACTCTTTCAATTTCACTCTCTTAACAGCAATCAAAATATTTTTTTTTATTTAGAGAAGTTATTTAGGAAAATAGCACTGAAGCTGTTCCCAATGCAAGATTCTAAATAAGAACACGCAGTGACTGGATCATATACTTATGCTATTCTAATCCAATCTACTTAATATACAGAGTGAAATGTAACCTTGCTGTACAGATGATCCTTAGCAGTCTGAGTAATACTAAACAGAGTTAAGCTACATTCCTCTAATCCCCAGAGGCTGTAAGATTTCTCATATTTCCCCCTTTGTTGACTGAGGGGGTCATCAAAACCATTTTTGAGTTCCCATGAAGTCTCAATTTCTATTCTAGTTCTGATATTGGACCTCTTCCATCAGAAAAAGTGAATATTTTTGCTGGTGTTGATGGATCCACTGTACCCAAATCCCCCCTAGCGTCCTGACAAGCTCATGTGTAATCTAAACCAGCCAGGGAGACTAATGTAATTTTATTCCCCAAGTTCTCTTCTGAAGAGACATTTCGGTGTAGTGCTTAAGGAATAAGACTAGAAACCAGGAGACTATGAATTATAGTCTCACCTTTGACACAAAGCCAGGTGGCTGACTTCAGGCCAGTCATTCTCTCTCAGCCCTAGGAAAAAGGCAATGGCAAATCATGTCTGCCAAGCAAACTGCAGGGATTTGTCCGGGCAGTCATCAGGAGTCAAGACTCACTTGAAGGCACATGCGCACACAGACAAAAGTGTCCTCCCTACCCCAATCCTGTTTTACTTGAGCCAGTTACTTTTCATTATGCTTTTGGCTTTTACTCTTGTGTGCAAAGTCACCAAGCTCAGTATAAATGTAAGATCTCCTCCCCTCCACAGCAAAATAGATTGTTAACTCAAGGGCTGCTTTGAGCATTATGTTGACAATAGGATATTACAGGATCACGAGTCTGACAAAGCTGAAAGTTTCTGCGAGTGAGTGAGAAAAACTCCCACAGTTACTGAACTTTGTTCCACCTCACCTATAGGCCCATGGAGACAAACTCCTCTTGTTCGACATCCAGAGTCTCAGATTGACCTGGCATTTACTGTCCAGCAGCTCAGAGCTATTTTGCAGCTGGTTAACCATCTCCTGAATGCTCCGCTCATAATCCTCCACGAAGGTGTACTCGGTGAGGGCCCCCAGATTTACCCTCAGCACAGGGTCAGGTGAGGATTCCTGTGCCCGCAGATGTTGTTCCCTGACTTTGGCTGAGCCTCTCCTTCTTCCTTTTATTCCTCGGCTTTGCTCTTTCGATTCAGGGGCAGCCTCCAGGGCCAAGGAGAGGCAGAGAGCGCAGAAAAGCAACTGGAAAAAGAAAAACAGGCAAACTTTATTCATTCATTTGCATGAACACAGGTGCTATAAATACAGCATATCGCATGATGGTTTCAAAATAAAACAGAAACCCTAGCAAAGACCGAAGAACAATAGGCAAACCAACCCAAAATAAGGGACACTAGCAAACAAAGCAGATGTTCAAAACATAGCAAAATATTGTTGAAAATTTAATAAAAATCTGATTAATATATTTTTTTAATTTCTTACTGATAAACCTGGAGCATCCTCGCAATAAACTTTTGGGAGTAACCTAAAAGTTGGTGATTCACTCAAGATTTTTCAGTGAGCTTCAGGACTGAGTGTCAACTGGATTTCTCCTTAGTCAAAGATTATCTCTGATAGGGCTGGCTGCTTATCCAGGGTTCAGAGACACTCTACTCAAAAATCTGTTTGTTTATTTGTTTGCTCGCTTGTTAGGGTGGAAAACAACAATTTTTCCATGAGATACCTGACAATAATTTATGTGTCTCATCCAGAGAGTTCCTATTTGATTGATAGGGCATTCTGAACATTTCCATGTTTTCCAAGTTCAAGTATTTTGTTTCAAGGCTCCTCCACAGGAAGCAATAAGAACATGAAATAAGCCCTGTTCCTTTTTGTCCCGCCCCCTCCCCCATGGATACAAAAGAAGGTCACACTGAACGCTATCTGTCTTACAATTCCCAGAGATATGTGTTTAAAAAAAAAGAAAAAATGTGAAAGAAAATGACTGAAGCAATCTTTTATAAGAATAATTATGCTTTTTGTCATTTCAATACTCAGTTTTTTGTTTTTTTTTAAGCATTTCTGTTGCTAAAATTCTAGTGGAGCGGATTCCTTTGAAACTGGGGGAAAAGAATTTGGCTTCTTATCATTTCAAGCACATTGCTTAACATATCAGCTACTCCCAGTTTGGCAGTCTCCAGATGTTCCTGGAGTTACAGAATTCCCAGCAAGAAGAATGAGAATTGCTGATCGAACACATCTGGAGGCCTCCGGAATAAGCCCACAGTCCCAAACCATTCAACGCCAGCCCTTGCCTTCGTTTCTTGCCTTTGTTATGGTGAAACAACAATATTAATAAAAGAAAAGCCACCATGTGATGCCAGGGAGCCTGTGTCTTCTTGGCAATCTGCTTCTCTACATGCCTCTGTTTGTGTTGTTGGGACAGTTGTGGATCTTAGGCACATAAGGCAGTCATTCCAGCATGCCAGCAGTCTCTGATTTTGTCTCTAGTTGGGTGGCTGGATTTTGTCTCCTCCACTTTACCAGGCTCTAAAAGCAATTGCTCATCCAGACACAGTTTATCCTTCCCAAAGCAAACAAGCCTGATAGGTCATTAATTAGCAGGAAAATAAATAAAGGAGGCTCCAGGAGGGCCAAGCACCTACCAGCTTTGGAGCCCACTCCATCTCCGCTGAGGGTGGGTAAGCAAAGACTCTGTAGAAGCCTCCCTCTGCCGCAGAATGAAATGAAGGCGATGGGGCCAGACGCTTTAAAAAGGAAAGCAGCAACCCTTAATCTCTTCATCGCCAGGGAGGTGGGCCTGCCTGGCACCAAGACATTTTCCCAGGATGCCAGCAAGGATGTTGACAGAAGGGACAACCATCAGGGCTGTCTGCTATCCAGCAAGCTAGAACAACAGGCTAGCCACAAGGCTGGCCTGCTTGATAGACTGGAGTGGAATGGAATGGAGTGGGGGGAGCATTAAGTAAATTATTGTGAAGGCAGATTTCCCTTATGGTGGAGGAAAGGCCGGATATTATCTAACCATAGCAGCATGATTTCCAAAATTGCTCAGAAACTAAAGACAAAGTTAGATCTTGGCCTTGAAGAGCAGGGTAAAGAAGAACATCTGTTGACAGGAGGCTTGGTTTGTGTCTTAAGACCCTGAAAGGCTCAGCAATTCAATACCAGGCTTGTGCAACTCCTGGAAAGTGGCAGAATCAAGCCGTTAGCATAACCAGAGTCCTGGGTGGTAGCCTGGAGCTGTGCAAAGGCGAGTTAGGGACATGATGAAAATGGAAGGGCTGCCCTCCTTGAATGAGTGGTGAGCTAAAAAAGCAGGAATTGGAAAGCAGGGAACAGCTCTTCTATTTATTGAGCATTTGGTCTGATTTTTTTTTTTTCTGTAAAGAGGCAACTGGATTTCTTTCTTTCTAGAATTTCTCCACAAGAAATAATGAAAGTGTCTGAATGAAAGAGAGATCATACAAAAAAGGAAAAAAAAATGTTTCAATGCTGTAGAACGAACAATGCGATTCTGCATAAGCCTGGGCTTTGAATGTAATAATAGTAATAAAATTGGAAGGGATCTTGGAGGTCATCAAGTCCAACCCCCTGCTCAGGCAGGAAACCCTACACCATTTCGGACAAATGGCTGTCTAGTCTCTTCTTAAAAACTTCCAGTGTTGGAGCATTCACTGCTTCTGGAGGCAGGTTGTTCCACTGGTTAATTGTTCTAGCTGTCAGGAAGTTTCTCCTCAGTTCTAGGTTGCTTCTCTCCTTGATTAGTTTCCATCCGTTGCTTCTTGGCCTGCCTTCAAGTGCTTTGGAGAATAGCTTGACTCCCTCTTCTTTGTGGCAACCCCTGAAATATTGGAATACTGCTATCATGTCCCCCTCGTCCTTCTCTTCATTAAACTAGACATACCCAATTCCAGGAACTGTTCCTTATATGCTTTAGTCTCCAGTCCCCTAATCATCTTTGTTGTTCTTCTCTGTATTCTTTCTAAAGTCTCAACATCTTTTTTATATCGCGGTGACCAAAACTTGATGCAGTATTCCAAATGTGGCCTTCCCAAGGCATTGTAAAGTAGTATTAATACTTCATGTGATCTTGATTCTATCCCTTTGTTAATGCAGCCCAGCACTGTGTTGGCCTTTTTGGAAACTGCAGCACACTGCTGGCTCATATAAGTGATTGTCTACTAGGACTCCGAGATCCCTCTCACAGTGACTACTATTGAGGAAGGTACCCCCTATACTATACCTGTACATTTGGTTTTTCTTGCCTAAATGTAGAACCTTACTTTTTTCACCATTGAATTTCATTTTGTTAGATAGCGCCCAGTGTTCAAATCTGTCCAGATGGACAAAAAAGTCTGTCTAGATCAAGATGGACAAAAAAAAGGTTACTTGATGTCCAAGCTCTCACAATCCATTTTCAATGCTATCCATAGTTTAATCGGAAGTATAATTGTCTTATTACGTTAGCATATATTTATAACTATCAACTATAACTTGATCAAGATCAGACGCTGTTTACTTATTTTTTTAATCCCTGTACTGTAGGAAGTATTGTTTGCATCTATCCTTTTTAGGAAAGAGAAAATTAGTAGTAACTTCATTACCTAAGTTTAGTTTAACTTTAGTCTCATTACATTTAGTTTCCAGCAAGGTTTCTAAATGCCAAACTAACCAAGTCAGTTTAATAGATTAAGAGAGGCATCTTGCATTCTTGTCATACCCTGATCCAGGAATTCTCCAAGAGGCCCTTTCTCATGCTGACAATTGTAGACCTTTTTTTTCTGCAGATAAAAAGAAGCAACAATGAGAAATATTGGAGATGAGAAATGGCCAATTATTTAGTGAACACCAAGAAAATTATATAAGACAGGTTTACATGAAATTCAATTACAAACTGCAATAAGTTTAAGGAACACATTATAGGCATTTTAAATAACAGTTAAATGCCAAAAGATTAACTAAAATATCTATCTTGTCTTAGAAATTATCTTACTTGTTGGTAACTGATTTTTTTTTCAAAATTTGTGTCCTTTAAACTGTTTCCTACTTTTGAGAAAAATATATATATACTGGAGTTGTTTGAAGAGCAAAAATAACCAGGAGGGTATTAAAAAATAGCTTGCAAAATTTCTTTTTATTTTTACTTTTTACTTTTATTATACTTTCTTTTATCTTTTTCTTTTTTCTTCTTCTTTATTCTTTTTTCTTTTAAATATTTTTCTTTTGGTATTTATGTTTTTCTATATATATATATATTATTGTTAATTATTTTATAATTTGTTTAATTAATGTATTTAGATTTATTTATGGTTTATATCTTTTTAAAGATTTTTTGAAGAAATTTTAATTAAGCCTATATTCAGCTCTGGGAAGGTCGGGAATGGGAGGGTTGGGGAGGCTTGGGGAAGGGTTGTTTTGTTTTTTGTAAAATTTTAAAAAAAAATTCAATAAAAATGTATTTAAAAAAAATAGCTTGCAAAATGAGAATTCAATATTTCCTGCTTTCCTTCTGCAGCTCTCAATTATTTTTTACTTCACTCCTCTGCCCCCAAAATTGGGGGGAACAAGTACTTGCAAGTCTTGCATCAAATGCTATGGCCTAAATAAAATAATATTTTTTTTCTTGTTGTATTTCAAATATTTGTTTATCAGGGCATTAGTAGGGATGGTTCCCAAAAAAACCAAGTTGTTTGCTGTAAAGGGGTGTGAGTGGGACTTCAGCTATATACCGTAGTTGTAGCTCCCATTTTGACTTCTTTTTTTTTTTTTACTCAAACCTGCCCATGTATGTTCCTGTTGTCCACACAACTTAAGACATCACTATGATTTGGATTTCTCATATTATATCCCTGGCAAGGGTTTCGCATCTTTATTTTGTTGTATCAATATATCTGTGTGAGAGGAAAGTTGCACTAGTTAATGTTTTCCCTCTCAGATAAACCTTTTTATATTCTGGGCTTTTTTGCATTAGTTTCAGTTCATGAGCGTGGTTGTTTAGGGTTTTTTGTTGTTGTTGTTCTTTTTTTTTACTGCTTCTGAAATCTACCGTACTTGTTACTTCTATTTATTGTTCATTTCATCATTTTGTTTTGTTGTTTTTGATACCTATAACAGAACCCTAAAAAAGGACCAGACAAATGATTTTATCTAATCAGTGGCCTGTAATGGTACATGAGTTCGACCAACTCAAGAAATTTTGCTGCCAGAAGTTTGGCTCCTGTAATATTAGATGATTTTATGATGAGTCTGTCTGCTCTCAGTGTACTCCAATTCTGACTGGGAAAGCTATTGAGAAGGAGGTCTCTTGGGCAATTTTCCAATCTTAAATCAACTCAACCAGCTATTTAGTCTTGCAGCATATTTTTTAAAAATACTGGCACTAAGTATATTGAAGGAGAGGGATACACACAGATGTGTTAACACTGTTCCAAATCCATAAGCTGTCCCTCTGTCTTCCACATCATCCATTAAATGTAAATTAGGCTTACTGTGCTGCTTTTAGATCCAGGTTTGCAAGAAAGCAAAGGCTTGGTTTGAGAAATACTGGCTATGAACAATTTGCCAAGTCTCTGTTTAGTATCTTAGCTGAATAGCTGAATATGAATAGATCCCCTATTATTACTTTTTTCCTTAATGCTATGATAAGGGATACTTAAGCTTGGTTGTAATTATATCACATAGGGAATTATTCTCCTTTTTTAATCTGGAACCTATTAGGAAGAACAGTTATCTGTAAAGACAGCATATATATTATGGCCCATTGCTAGAGCTTAAAACTTCTAGATCAATACAGGATTTACTCCATCATGAACAAATTCTCACACATTTAGCAAATCTGCTTCTTTAATGGGCCTGTGCGTGCCATTGTCTTATTCTGTATCCCACATTGTTCTTAACCAAGTTTTAATATTGACCTAAACTCAGAATACCTGCAGTTTTGGATTAGTCGGAACAGGTGTCTAAAACACAGGTTACTTATGGCTTTCAGTTTCTGGTAACTACTAAACAGAAACAGCAGTTGCTCTGGGTTTAGCATGACAAGCTGAGTCTTAAATAAGTCTGGGACCTGAATTATGGAGCTTTATGGAATGGTGAGACTGCTAACCGAGCAAGCAAGACTTAGACTGCCATGAAAATACCATCCATGCTTCCATTGACTCAAAATTAAACATTTCAATATGCAAAGTGTCACTATCCTAACTTAACTTGTATTTCTCTTGCATAAATGTAGATGGTTTGCACTCCCAACCTTCTTTAGTAAATGACTGGTGATGCATAATTTATAATTGAATCCTATAGTCAGTTCTCTCAAACTGGTGCTCTCCAGCTGTAATGGATCCCTTTCCCTAGCCAAGATGGCAATTGGCCTCTGGACAATAAAAGTCATATTTGTGGGTATCTGGTTGGTGAAGGTTGCCGAACACAAAAGTGGGCATTTGTAGTTTCAATAATGTACTGGCACACCTGCTTGGCAATCACTTGCATTCAGGCTTCTGCCAAACATTTCCATCTGGAATTTGCAATAGGGCTGTTTAGTAATTAATGTTCTGAAATCTATAATTAAACAATCAAGCAATGTATTAAGTAGGGCCCTGAAAACAGGATTCCTCCCTTCCTCTTGAATAACTAAGATGCTGCTGTTGTTTATTAGGTCCAAGCAAATCACGGAGGTGACCACATTTCCCAGCATCGCAGTCTGCATACCAAAAACCTCCATAGGGGCCAGAGCCACAAGGCACATACACAGTCAGAGAAAACAAGTCAAGAATGTTCACAAATGTGTTTATTTTAAAAAATAGCCAATTATATTTGCCAACCCTCAGGTTTTCCTCTTCATTGGGCATATACAAGATTCCTCTCTTTTGGCCTCATGTATCCTCCAGGTAGGCTTGCAGCCTAGCCAGTCTGACAGCAACCCATCCATGTTTGGCTGCTTTCCAAGCTCAGCTTCAATTATTTGTAACAGACACTTTTACATTTGCTATAAATATATTTGAAACGTTCCAATGGTAGCCTGCAACTCTTGTTCTTCTTTTTGTCCATATCTTTGGTTTGGATAGTGCAGGGAACAGGATGACAGAGTAGTATTATAAAAATCAATCTCTGTCTTATGTACAATTTAGCCAGTGGTGGGATTCAGCTGGTTCGCACCAGTTCGGCAGAACCGGTAACTAATTTTTTGTTGCCCAGGCCCAGAATGGACTTCCGGAAGCGGCATCCACATATCTTTGAATCCCACTACTGGATTTAGCTAATGAGAAACTGATTAGCTTTAGTGAAGATGCAGGCAGCCTAAGGCCAGCAGGCCTTGATCCCGTACATTTATTTTTAAAAACGGACAATATAATACTTATGCAGATTGTCACAGTTGTGTGCTGGTCAAGTTAGAAATTGGTTGCCTGGCTGGGCCTCTGCAGAGGAAAGAAGGAACTGGATTTTGTTCGCCTTGGATCTAGTGCCTCTCTGCCAAAGACTTATTTGTGCCCTCCAGTCACATCTTATTACTCAAAGGGAACACAGGGTAATCCTCAACTTACGACCACAGTTGGGCCCAAAATTTCTATTGCTAAGTGAGACATTCATTGAGTTTTGCCCCATTTTACAACCTTTCTTACCA